TTGCAGAAGTTCATAATGGTAAAACCCCTTAAGTCAGATTTACAAAATGCTTTAACGGTATTCATCACCGACCTGGCATGGATGTGGATCGCAATGAGAATCGTCATGACTGCACCGTCCAGGCGAACGATTCTATCGCTAAAGCCGAGATAAGATGCATCATTTCGCAAATTATAAGTTAGAGTTCAGTAATTTGTGAGTGTCACCATCCCATCGTCAGAGAATCAGACAACATCTAAAAGTCGATCAGCGACCTGATGAGTTCGCATAACTCTCAATCAGTATCAAATGGAATAATTTCGTTCCAAATCACTGTATTTATCCCAATAACAAGGCTACCATCACAGACTAATGCTCGCGATGTCACTAAGGCGGCTGCAAACATTCAAATGAGAAGTAGTTCAATTACATTTTTAAAAACGATTACAAAGGAGAGACCGGCCATCATCTAACTCCATCGCGATCCGTTGGCAGATTACGAGATGCGTGAGCAAAGGGCTTGCTCTAACGTGCTACCTGACAGCCTAAATATTTGAACTGTCGTCTTTTGATGCAGATGTTCTAATGCTGAGTGAAACTTGAGTAATGTGTCATTCTGTCCTCGAATTTGACGCTATTCCAGTCTTAGAATGCATGTTTTATGCCACTGACTGGAACAATCTTCAGTATATATTAAGCGCGTATCCTCTGTAGTTAAAAAGGTCGTTTAAAAATGCTGTGAAGCAACAAGAAAATCTAAGAATAAATCCATAGACAAGTCGCTATTATTTTAACTGCATTATGAATGATTCACAGAGTCATGTGCCAGCAGTACGGTTATTGATTAATTCGTCGTACAATTGCAATTTGAAAAATGGCATAAACGTCGTTAAATATGTGGCATTGCAAACGATGGTACCGGAAGGTACAGTGTAAAGAAAGGAAAGTTTATTTATTACTTTACGCCGACAATTCAGTAGCATTAAATGGAAGTCTTACGCATGGTTGTACCGCAGCCTTGCTTCTAGTCACCTAGAGGAACCATTTGCGAAGGCCATGGCTTCATGGCATTTAAGCCTCTCTAGTGCATATGATGCAAGATCGTGTCTTTGAGTTTGGTTGAACAAAGCCGTATTCAAAACCAAACACTATCCGATTGAATAATGTCAAAAAGGGTCCCAGATATTCTGGAATAGCGTCCTTGGCTTGATTGCGACTTTGTTCAACCTAATCTAGTAACGCGGTCTTGCGCACAATGTCCTGCAGGCACTTAAATACTACGGACCCATGGCCTAACTGATAGTTTCCATAGGTGATCAGAAGCAACTGAGCAATGCAATGTTGCGGTTCAACACAGTGTAAGACTTCCGTCTGTCTTACACTCTCGAAACGTCAGTATAAGGTAGAAAATAGATTTATTTCTTTGCGCAGTACATTTTTGCTGCTTAAATTTGCCATTATTATCTGTAACGACAGTTACAGTTTATTTGGAAATTTTCATAAATGGAATATTTTCGTTCTTTATATTGCTGGAAAGAATGTTCAAAATGACATAGGTATTGCGATGACGAGATAGACCCTGCAAATCGCCTGTATTTAAAATCTCAACCAATTCTGTACTCTGTACGTTTGGCAACGTCGGCTTTAGAGAATGTCGTACAATGGTAGGAATGATTGTCGAATTTACGTCGGAAACCTTCCACCAGACATACGCTCACGCGATATTGAAGAGTTTTTCGAAAAATTCGGTAAAATCGTGTTCGTAGATCTTAAAAACAGGAAAGGTCCGCCGTTCGCCTTCGTTGAATTTGAAGACTGCAGGTATAAGGCTTTGAATACTTCTGCGTACGGTTCATGTGCTCTGATTCTTTCGAGATTGAAAGTCTGTTTTACCATAAGTTGGGTGGCTTCGCGGAATTTTGTTTTTCTCTGGCCTTCGCAAGCTTACGGTTGAACATTTATTGAGACTTCTGTCAAGTGTGGTATTGACTTCAACTTTCACAAATTTTTGATGTCTTTTGAAAGTTAAACATTGGCTGTGATAAAATGATTAGGAACATTGCTATTTTTCTTGAGCCACTGTCGATTGACGGCCGATTATGCGTCGTTTTCGTCGCGCTTCACCCGTAAAATGGCATACTTAGAAAAAAATGTTTTCTGCTGCGATTACATTGCGCATGTGATTTCCGTTTTGTTTGTTAGGGTTGAAACTGGCTAATGCAAAAGTTTTGTAGATCTTCGAAATGCAGTGAAAGCTGCATGAGTGCAAACGGCACTCAGAAGATCTTGTTTGGCGGGAAGTTCATTTTAGATATATTTACTTTAAAATGTGCGACCGACCGACCGACTGCATATAAAAAAGCAGTTGAATCAGTTTTCGTTAGCTTTAACCAGTATGGGTGTTTACAGTGCTAATGGGTTGGTTAGCATTGTTAGCTATAAATGACTAGAAATTCTCGGGTCAGTTTAGTCAGCAACCTCGAAGAAGAAGAAGGTTTCAAATCCACAGCGGAATGATGCAATTTTTCGTTCATGAATGTTACTAATTCATTATTTTGAGTCAACAAACTATATTGAGCTGTTAGAGACAGCGAAAGCCGTTGCATGTTGTAGACCCATGTAGTTTTTCAACATTTCAATTGTCAGCAAGCTATCCTTGAATGACAGAGTGTCATCGTCGTGCTACCAAGGAAGGGTTATATTGGAAATGCGTTTTGTTTCATATTCGCTGTCCGAAATGTTTTTATCAAACTCATTTCATCGTTCGTTAAGGTTTTCCCTAATTTATAATTAGTTATAATGTAGTATAGTCACGGTGTGTAGCCGTAATTATTGTTAGTTCAGACTGGTAGACACTGTTTCAGGGACAGTTATGAAGGGATGTTACTAATACGGTCTGAGTGATTGATGACGTCATTTTGACTGTAGCTTGTCATAAAATGTCATGATAAGAGTGTGTAAAATAGCGTGGACGTGTAGTTGTACGCCTCATTTGTTTCTGATTATCGTATGCAGAAAGTAAATGTTTACCCGTTGAGTAGGATTCTCCTCTTCCGCATGGAGATGTTATCGCACCTTAATTATAGTTCGATATAATTATTTCGTTATAATTAAGTATATACCGTAATGCTGATATATAATTATGTATGATAATGTTGTGAAACTAGGAGGACCGCGTGTTTTTATTTTTAAGAAATTGCAAGCGAGAAATTCTACAGATAACCGCATAAACGAACGACATACTGGGAAACGTCGCAGTCAAAATCTGGAGATTCAGTTGACGCTGAACCAAAATCCAGTAATTTGAAGTTTAAATGCTGAGATAACTTTGAATATGAATCATGTTTTATTTAACTTCTGATTTTTGTAGAGTTAATCTGCAATGCAGTGTTTTATTCTCGATTTCGTTTACCTAAATTTTAAGTGAGGATACTAAGTTTCAATGCAATCAAGTTGCGTTTAAATCTGAGATGGCAACAGGCTTGACTGTTTTTGAGTCTTCTTGAGTGTGAGAATGGTTTGCTTCTGTTCTGATTTGCTTTGTACATGTTTTTGATTTTGCATTAGTGAAACTGCTGACCAGCAAAAACACCGTTTCCTTCGAAAACTCCCTGCTGTATTCTGTTGACATATTTGTAATTACAAACTCCGAACAACATTGCTGAAGCGCTCTGTGGCAGTTTATTTAAAATTTAGTTTGTTCATTTATAACGTGGGTTTTGGTTCCTAAACTGCTGAAATTAACGAATATTTCTGCTTGTATTCAACCGTTTAACTTGCTTCCAGAGATGCCGAGGATGCCGTACACTCCCGCGATGGGTTCGACTACGATGGTTATCGTTTAAGAGTGGAGTTTCCTCGCGGTAGTGGTCCGTACGGGCAAGGAGGACGAGGAGGTCGTATCAGTCCGAATGGCCGCACCGGTTCCAGCAGTCGGTCGGTTCGCAGCGGAGCTGCTTCGCGGCACACGAGTTTCCGTGTTTTGGTTAAAGGTATTTTTTGCTCTGATCTTCTCACTGTTTAATCGTTCTTTTATGTAAGGGCTGCCAGCCACTGGCTCGTGGCAGGACTTGAAGGATCACATGAGAGAAGCTGGTGATGTGTGCTACGCTGACGTTTACAAGGACGGAACAGGGGTCGTCGAGTACATGCGCTACGAGGATATGAAATATGCACTGAGGAAATTGGACGATTCTAAGTTTCGCTCCCATGAGGTACGCTGATTTTGTGGATCCTAGCGTGTGAGGCAATAAATTTTTAATGACAAATATGCACAGCTGACGTTCCCTTTTCCATTTCTTGACTTTCATTAAGAAAGTTGTTGAGTCGCTTGAAACAACCATGCGAAATTCGGTTTGTTTTCTGTAATTTTGCTTCAGTCTTGTGAATTTTCTGCTCAAATATTGCAAATATGTTAATTTGTTAATTTGATGCCAAGTTTGTCCCCTTGCTCTAACATTAATCTGATTGTAGCGTTTTACAACTTGTGTCAGTTAGGAACCATGACCCTGAATTGTCATACTCGTTCATGGGATTTCACAGCCCGCTATTTCCTTCACATTAGAAAAGCAGCGGCTTCAAGGAATGGTTCATATGGTTTTGGTTCTCTGCCAGTCAGACATTTTTCGAACTGATTTCAAAGACGCCATAATATCTCGTTTGGAATATACTGGCTCTTGGCTGCTTGTTGTATGGCTTTGCGAAACAAGTCTTTTGCAGAACTTCATTCTAACCTCGATTTGTGCCACTTATTGCATCTGTTATCTCATCATTTGTAGAAGAGATGCTCGCAGTTGAGGGTATATCAAATTGCCACGTTTCGAGCTATCGTGTTTCTTTGTACGGACAGCCCTTCGAGGAACATGTTTTTTAACGCTTGTATCAGGAATATTGCACTCCTTTCTTGAATATCCATCGCCTTTGACCAGGGGTCATAAACAGATTAATTGGTTTGCATCAGTTCATTCTACAAAGATACCTGTTGCATTATCTTTGTTCTATCCGTGACAGTTCAGGGATCAAGGCTCTTTTTGATTTTTTACTTCACTATAAGGAAATACAGTTAAACTCCGTTATAACGCGCCTCACTGAGCCGCGAATCAAGGTATAATGGGGGCTTTATCGTTTGCCTCGCATAATAATTCCGCTTTTCATAGGCATCTTTATTGCTTATTTTACTTTGATGCACCCAGCAGCCGTACTATCCTAAACTTTCGCGTCTTGGTAGTCGCATTGACCATCTCAGTTTCTTTCTGTTAGCTGAATATGGAGGAGAGACTCCTGTGTGGCAGTACATGTTGTCTCAACGTTTTAGTCACTCGACAAAATGAAGATATGACTGAGCTTGAAAGTCTAAAATAAACAAAGTATTGAAGTAATGAATTGACTGATACAGTGATTGTTTATTTTTATTGTTACATTTGCTAAACATTAAGACGGGATGAAGTAGTGTCGCACCAAATAAGCGATTATTTTATTAGCTCCAGTTGAATTAGACTAATTTATTTAAATCGAAATTCGATACCCGTGCTATGGTACCTGACCTATAAAATGTCTGAGCATGCACTTTGACGGGTGTCCAATTATTTCTCACAATATTTCTCGAGATACCGTATATGTATTTCTGTAAAACTTGCAATCTGCATTATGGTAATTTAACTGTTTGACATTTTTTGTGGTATTTGAGTTTTATTTGTATTGTTATTCATGTCTATAATACTTTGATGCCGTTATCTCATGTGTTATAAAGTGACCATTTGATTTTGCTGTTGATGAATATTATTTCCACTTTTTTGTATTGTGATAGTTTATTGCAAATTTAGGGTGAAGTGACTTATATTCAAGTTCGCGAAGATTATGGAAGGGGCCAGGATCGAATCAGCCGTTCGCGTAGCCGCTCGAGATCACGCTCGTCGATTCCGCGTCGCGTCCGCGGTTCACCAACCTATTCACCCGCCAGGCGATCCCGGTCTGATTCTCGCAGCTGCAGTCGTTCGCGGTCTTTGAGTCGCTAGGTGTTCGGGTGTGCGCGCAGCATGGAGTTGAATGCACGAGGGCGGCGTCATTGTACATTTTTATCGAGAGGATCATTCAGGTTAATCTGTAGCAAAATTTCGTCGCGTGCATTGTAATTTTACGATTGTATTATATGCAGCTTTGATTTGACTTGCGTTTGGTGCGAAAAGTATCTGGAAATTTTCTGGTGTCTGGAGTAACAGTAGGATCTGAAGAGGAAGGATT